TCAGGGGCTTTTAGTGTGTGCTTCTGTTCAAGGGGGGCTTTCAGTGTTTTGTATGGAAAGCACAGCAGATTTAATGTTGCATTTATCCTTTGACCCAAGTCGAGATCCATTTATCAGTTATAGAAAGAGGATGAAAACCCTGAGTAGAAGAAAGCCTATTCTAGTCTCTTTGAGCTGAATGATAAGGAATGCACCTTAACAGCTTCCCTTTGGCTGCAATCGGCAGGCTACACACCATTTCAGATATTAAATGATGCATTAATATGGTATTTTATTAGCTGTGCCATTTTAGTGAAAGGAGTTGTGCTTTTGGTCATATTGTGAGGCGTGCTTGTAGATTTTTATTTTGCATCCTCATGGTTTCGGTGAATATGCTAGAGTAGAGGTGAATCTCTGGGAAGATAGATGGCAGCAAAATTTGAAGTAAAGACTATGTATATGTAAAGACTATGTATATGTACCTATATTGAATTGCATGCAGCAGCTCACTGCTCAAGCTTTGCCTTGGCTTCTACTAGCAGATAGTCTAACGTTTAGTTAGCGTTTCCTGCCTGTTGCCACGAATTAGCTACCGCTAAAAGGGCTCGATTGCCCATGGCACAGAAAAATCCTCCAGGTCAGAGCTGCCCTTCTGCATCCAAGGGAAGCCTGCTTGGATTTGTAGGTATTCTGCCCCACAGGTCTGGGGGGAGGGATGTTTGGGAGAGAGAGAGCAAACACTTATTCCATCATCTTCTTAGCCAAAATATAAGATATTAAGCATTTTATTGCTGTCTGATTCCACATTTTGGATCTCCATTCCCACTCTGCTTGACAGCCATATAATGTAGGAATTCCGCAATGAGGTCTCCCCGGAGCCTTCTCTCCTCCAGGCTCAACAACCCCAACTCTCTCAGCCTTTCTTCATAGCAGAAGTCTTCCAGCCCTCTGATCATTTTTGTGGCCTGCTGTAACAGGTCCGTGTCTGTCTTGTACTGGGGACTCCAGAGCTGGATGCAGTACTCCAGGTTGGGGTCTCACGAGAACAGTGTAGAGGGGGAGAATCTCTTCCCTCGACTGCTGGCCACGCTGCTTCTTATGCAGCCCAGGACATGGTTGGCTTTCTGGGCTGCAAGTGCACATTGCCGGCTCATGTCCAATTTTTCGTCCACCAGTATCCCCGAGTCCTTCTCTGCAGGGCTGCTCAATCCCGTCATGAGGTTCACGAAGTTCAACAGCTTGGTGTCATCTGCAACATCCACAGATGCACATGGATTTAAATAATGTGTGTTTCTCCATCCTTGGATCCAATATTCGTCTGGTGTATTTTAGTCAGCAGCTCTAGTGTTTGAATTATACTTTTACTGTCCATATCTGTAAAAGTAGTTGGAAGTGTGGTAGTTTGATCATCATCCTGCTGATGCATTGTTGTAAAGGAAATGGTGTCATGTTTACTTAGTGTGGCAGCAGTTTGGCTCCAGCACCTGAGTATGCATGATGAACTTTTGAACCCACAATATTGCCTGTGGGATTGATACTGTTTTAAATAAATGAGCATTTGGGGTTTGCCTGGACATGATGTAATGAGATAATTGCAGAACCATTTGGCTTTTAACCACAGATACAGCCTTTTTTGTTGTTGTTGTTAATGTACTCTATTTAGCTTAACAAAATAAAAAGACATTAATCTTCAGTGTCTGCTACTTCATCAAGTAGTAGAAGAATCATAGGTTGATGGGCTGGCACAAAAAACTCCCCTGAAACTTAGTTTTCAGGAATGGCAGTGTTATTTTTAATTGTCTCCAGCAGGAGGCTTTTTGTCTGGAAGGAATCCAGAGGTTTACATTGTAACGTGTTCAAATTCACATAAGCTGCTAGATAGTCTTAAAGCTCTCGTGAAGTTGTTTTCCTCTGCGGTTGAAGACATCTGCACTCTAGCGTTGCAAGATAGATTGTGTTATAGTGATGATTTCTGTGTATAGCATACGTCAATAGGGTGCAGTAGTTGACTGCTCACCTCTGTTGTTTGGCTGGTGGTGGCTGGAAGACCTAATGTGTGTGCCATGTGTGTGGTGGGTTGACCTTGGCTGGGGAACAGGTGCCCACCCAGCCCC